TTAGGGTTTAGGGTTTAGGGTTTAGGGTTTAGGGTTTAGGGTTTAGGGTTTAGGGTTTAGGGTTTAGGGTTTAGGGTTGAGGGTTTAGGGTTTAGGGTTCAGGGTTTAGGGTTTAGGGTTTAGGGTTTAGGGTTTAGGGTTTAGGGTTTAGGGTTTAGGGTTCAGCATCTCAAGTTCAAGCATTCACTAGTCAAGCAGCTTGTCAAGCGTTGGAAAAAACCCCACCCACCCAAGAAACCCATAACATTGAGAAAATACAAAGTTCAATCAATACATTTTCAATAGGCTTATAGCTCAAAAGTCCGCCCAAAACCTAAAATCTAACTTTTTGGAAGCAAACTTTCCCTCTTACAGAACGTGACATCCTGAAGCCGGTGAAGCTCGGTTTTGCTCAAAAATCCAGGGCCCCCCCGGGTGGAAAAAAACCATTTGCCCACGAAGGGGGTCAGGGTTTAGGGCCCCCCCGGGTGGAAAAAAACCATTTGCCCACGAAGGGGGTCAGGGTTTAGGGCCCCCCCCCGGGTGGAAAAAAACCATTTGGTCACGAAGGGGGTCAGGGTTTAGGGCCCCCCGGGGTGGAAAAAAACCATTTGGTCACGAAGGGGGTCAGGGTTTAGGGCCCCCCCGGTGGAAAAAAACCATTTGGTCACGAAGGTCATTAGGGTTTAAATATACATAGTAAAAGAGGGTTTAGGGTTTAGGGTTTAGGGTTTAGGGTTTAGGGTTTAGGGTTTAGGGTTTAGGGTTTAGGGCTACCAGCCCTGAAACACTTGCGCCAAAGCCCGAGGTGCCTCGGCGGTTTTAGGCATCTGCAGGTCGCAGTCATGGAGGGCCACCGGGCCTGCCGCCTCTTCTGGGGATTTTGGGTTTAGGGTTTAGGGTTTAGGGTTTAGGGTTTAGGGTTTAGGGTTTAGGGTTTAGGGTTTAGGGTTTAGGGTTTAGGGTTTAGGGGTTTACGGAAACAAGGGACCCACATATAGACCCTCAAATAGTAGGATTTTGTTGTAACATAAGGACCACAATAGGGTACCCCTAATTTTGGAAAACCCCCCATTCAGGGTCGAGGGTTTAGGGCTTCGTGGCTCCTAGTAGGGAATGAGGGAATTAGGCACCTTCTATCCCTATATAAATATATTTTTTCTTTGTATATATATATATACATACATATACATATACATACATTTTCTTTATATATATATATATATATATATATATATATATATTGGCGGGCGCGGGATTCAAGACGCCCCCTATTTCCCTGTGACTGTCTACAAAGATAGATTTTCTTGTATTTGCCGTCTGAATTGGGGTCCTTACAGACTCAAGACAGATTCTGCTCCGACAAAGCCTTGCTGTTGCTTTTTTTTAGGCTTTCATTACTAAAACCTCTCAAATTACCTCTTCTTAAGCTCTTCAACATGGCCGAATATTTAAGACGCCCCTGGGTTCTTCGCTCATTTCACCGACAGCAGCTTTATTGAGGGTGATGATGTGAGACATGTTACGACACTGATCATCTATTTAGTATGGTAGAACCACTGGGCCTGGAGCCTCACGCTTGCAAGCCTAGTTCAATCCAACCAAACTCCAACCCCTGAAATCCAAACAGTTGACCAAAGACCATGCACTTAAGACTTACCAAACACACCTATGCCCGCCGCGGGGCCTACATCTTTCAACCTAACCATCTGATCTTATAGTAAATACCCGATTCCGGAAAAAATCGCCTTTAAACACCAGAAACCTCTCTTTTTCTGATTAAAACCAAGAGACGTCTTAAATCCCGCGCCCGGCTATATATTTACCCTTATATACAAAGACACTTTAAGGGATCCTATAGGGTACCCAGTTCCCTCAGTCCCTAAGAACCGGTAGGATCAGGGCCTTCGGAATGATGTGAAATGGAACTGAGTTCAAGCACGTTCAGCTTTCGCCAGGAACCCCAAACCCTAAACCGTAATCCCTAAACCCTGAATGCCCCAAACGATGAGCGTCCTGAACCCTAGAGGCAGCAAGCCTAAACCCCAAAGGCCCTTCTAACCCAATTCTAGCTGTACCTATAACCCACTTATAAGCCCCTTAAGTGCCCTAATGTGGGTATTCTTGGGTTAGAAGCACAGTTATCATTGGGCTATGAAGTACCATGAACCTCCAAGTAGGGTTTAGGGAAATCCTTGTGGACATTCATCCCTACCTGCGAAAACGGCGCAATCTCAGCCCTAAACACAGCTGCAGCCTCTAGAATCCCTACAAACCCGAAACCCTACAACCCTAGACCCGAAACACCACAAACCCCTCCAAACCCTGCATCCCAACACCCAAAAAGAAACCCTAAGCCCTAAGCCCTAAACCCTAAACCCTGAACCCTAAAACCCTAAAACCCTAAAACCCTAAAACCCTAAAACCCTAAAACCCTAAAACCCTAAAATCCAAACCCTAAGCATCGCTCCTCACTCTGCGCGGAGAGCTGCAACGCGGACATGTCAGCTCTGAGCAGCAAGGCTTTCTACCTTGGGCTGAGGGGTTTGAGGGGTTGAGGGGTTGAGGGGTTGAGGGGTTGAGGGGTTTAGGGTTTAGGGTTTAGGGTTTAGGGTTTAGGGTTTAGGGTTTAGGGTTTAGGGTTTAGGGTTTAGGGTTTAGGGTTTAGGGTGTAGGGTGTAGGGTGTAGGGTGTAGGGTGTAGTGGTTAGGGTTTTTGAAAAAAGAAAAGGAGGGCTTCGGGCTTGGATGTTTTAGGAGCAGATAGGGGTTTAGAGGGTTAGGGGCGGGTTGGGGGGTTCGGGTTCTACTATGAACACCCAAAAAAGAGAAAATACTACTCCCTATATTACCCTGATAAGGAAGAACATGTGTTGTTTTTTTGGGGGCTCTTAAGCAATTGATAGGGCATTAGGGGGCCGGGAGCTCACGAAGATTCGCGGAAAAACAAGGCCAAAGAGTGCTCTGGACACTTTTTTTGCCACTGGCTGGGCATTTCTCGGGGGTTCCAAGGTTTCGGGTTTAGACATTTTCACTCGGGTTAAGGGTTTGGGTTCCGGGTTTAGAGGTCTGGGGGGGGCTCAGTGCGGACCATCTTGAGGGTTCACGCGTAGTTAGAAGTAAGGTTAGAAGCACCCTAAAGCAAGGTCATAGCCAGTTACAAGTAGAGCCACCCTACTTACAACCCCACTTAGAACTACCCGTGAACCTCCAAGTATTCAAAGGTCCTTTACACACCTGCGCCTCTGGTCGCCTGCCAAGCCGCTTGGTACCGCGGCGGAGGGGGCCCATCAGGAAGCCCAGGAAAGTCGGGCCATGAAGTGGCTTTGTTATGGGTTTGGGGTTGAGGGGTTTAGGGTTTAGGGTTTAGGGTTTAGGGTTGGAGTTTAGGGTTTAGGGTTTAGGGCTTTTGCGGCTGTGAGGCCTAGAGCAGCCAAGGCCCCCGAAATCGGCTGCTGAGCGGGCTGCTGGTATAGGGGTCGGAAGAATTGCTAGTAGTTCTCCCCTAGGGTCCCTATACATGAATGACCGCCCAAGACCTTACTATTACTAATTTTACTCAAATTACTATGATTATTCCTACTACAATTATTATTTAGCGCCTCATATCAACGCCATGGAGCGGCTTTCAAGGCTCTAGCGTGCTCAGGATAGTTGGGGCTTTGCATGAGCGATATTGGCAGCCCTCAACTGGAGCCTCGCTGACTTCGGCAGGCTAAGTTGTGGCCTGTCTGGGGGGATGTCCGAACATAGGGATACTTGGAGGTTCAAGGTAATTAGTATCCAATTCTAGTGGCACCTATAACCCACTGTTTATAAGCCCCTCAAGTGCCCCTAAGGTGGTGATAATTGGGTTATAACAGTTATAATTGGGTTAGTAAGTACCATGAACCTCCAAGTACCTGGGGGGGTTCCTATAGTCAGGATCATATTTTGGGCCCGTACCTCTATTTTGATATCGAGTTCTGGGGCTGCACTTTTTCCTGGAAGGCGGACAGTCGGACGTAGGGTTCAGGCCTGAGACTTAGCCTGTTTGAAGATAGGTAGGATATACGGAGGAATTCTATGTAATGCAAAATAAGAATACATAGTAACGTGGAACTTTACGCGTTCTTCTGTTATGTGCTTGGGCGGGTGATCTGCTTCAAGTAGCATGAAGAGGCGCCTTTCTCAGCACTACACCCTGAACCCTGAACCACCCTAAACCCTAAGACCTACAGCACCGGGTAGCTCCAGGCCAAGAGCTTTGGTCTTTACATGCCGGGTTCAGTTAGGGTGAGGGTTTCGAGCTAGTTTTAGGGTATATGTTGCAGGAAATTTCCTACCCTAAACCCTAAACCCTGAACCCTAAACCCGAAACCCTAAACCCTAAACCCTAAACCCCTCTAGTTTAGGGTGCCAATGACGGGCCCATAAGTCTCGCTCAACTGCCCCACGTGTTCATGACGGCAGCCCTCTCAACTGGAGCCTGATGGTTTAGGGTTTAGGGTGTAGGGTTTAGGGTTTAGGGTTTAGGGGCTACGATGCGCATGTGCGCATCACGAAGCCGTGCGAAACATAGACTTTAAACCCTAAAGTCGAAGCCCGATCCCTAAGCCAAAAACCCCTCGACTTTGAACCCTAAACCTTAGTGCCTGGCTGGCGCGCTTTAGGTCGTACAGGGTCACTGCTGTATTGGTGTGGAGTGCCTTCTTCTTTCGTTTTTTTGTGAGGTGGGGCGGGGCGGCGGGGGGAGGGCTAGTCCTCCTGACCTCCTAAAAGTCTTGACCTTTCTTTTGGTACGTAGTCCTCCAACGGGGTTAGGGCTTGGGTCTAGGGTCTGGGTTTCAAGGGTTTGGTGGCTTCAATTTTCCTTCCAATCACGTCTTCCTATGTACAAGTCTAAGAGTCAGGCTGTTGCCGCGCCATTTGTTAAGTGAGGGCAGAAATCTGCCTGGAAACGCTCACTGCGCCGACAACAGGAACTCCATGCAGGACCCGCCATCTGAAATTGGGGCTCCCCAAAAATGTGTCCTAAAGCCATCAGGCTGCTGAGGACTCGCGCTCTTCAAAACAGCTCGCGGGCTTAGTCTTGGGGCCTGGGCCATTATGGTCCTTGCAGTCCTCAATCAACCTGCAGTCCTCAAGCAAGTTGCAGTCCTCAATCCAAGAAACACGGTTGTCCTGGTTGTCCTCAGTCAAGGGCAGGGCCGGAAGGGCCGGCAGGGCCAGTGTGCAGCTTAGCGGTCCCAGCCACAGGCTCAGGGCGATGAGCAGCAGCGTGGCGCCGAGCGCCAGCAGGAAGCCGGCCGCGCCCGTCTCAGCCAGGACCACCACCAAGAGCGACACCAGGGAGCTCCCCAGGAAGGAGAGCGCCGTCAGCAGGGAGGAGGCCGAGCCCGCGATGTCCTCGATGCCTTGGGTGAACTGGCAGAGTGCCGAGACGTAGGGAGTCCAGATGGCGACCTCCGCGAATAATGTTGCGGCCATGAACCACGACAGGCTGTCGCTGTACAGCAGCCCTGTGAAGGCCAGGAAGCCCGCCGAGCAAAGCAAGGGTCCCATGCACGCCCTGAGTGCTTCGAGCGCACTCCAGGGCAGGTGGGCCGGAATGTAGGACCCCACGGTGCCGGCGAAGGCCATGAGCGTGATGCACACGGAGGCCCCACGGAGCGATTGGTGCAAGTCCCGGCGCAGAACGATGCCGTTGCTTCCCGCCAGGCCATCGAAGAAGCTCTTGATGAAGAGGCAGGCGACCAGAATCCAAAATCGGCTCCGGTCCACCAGGGTCCGCCTGGCACAGGCAGCGTAGTTCCTTGGATCAGAAGGGCACTATAGACCACGGCCAGCACCCCCCTTAACCCCAGCACTCAAACCGCTCTGACTGAACACCCATCCCGGGCACATAAAAGCATCTATCATAGTCATCATCACAAGCACACGCATAAGCATCATGCTCATGATAAGAGTCAGAAATTGAGACATGAATAGTCTTTCCATTCCATAATTAAAGCTGTCCTCGAAGGGTTCCAACAATCAGTCCAACGATATGGCCCCAAAGTCGCGAAGAAGCCTGAACCCTACCGAAACCCCCATATAAAGCCTGAATCCCCAACTAAAGCCCTAGACACCCCTACAAACAGCTGACGCACCGTGTTCCGCGGCAAGGCTCACGTCCACGCTCGGGGGGGCGCTCTCCTCTTTGCAGTTTTCCAAGCCCGAAAAGCGGCTTTGAGGGGCCCCAAGGGGGGCCTGAAAAACCCTAGGGGGCCCTTTGAAAGGGCTCTGAAACGGCCTGAGGAACTCTACAGGGCTCTTAAAGACCCTAAAGTTCATATGAAGATGTCCAGAATTTAGGGCTGAGGCTCAGGGCTTTCGGATGGATGGCCTGAATCCCCTCAAAACCTTCAACAGCCCTAAACCCTTAACCCTAAACCTTGAACCCCACTCCTCCACAACAAAGAAGCTGAAGACCAGAAGCAGCCCGGAAAGGGAGCTCAGGATGAAGAAGGGAAGGCGCCTGGCCCCCATCAAAAGGGTTTAGGGTTTGGGGTTGAGGATCTAGGGCTTAGGGTTTAGGGTTTAGGGTTTAGGAGTTTAGGGTCAGGCGGGAGGGGGCCCGCACAATACCCTCTGCTGAACGATCATATGAATACATATTTAGGTGTGTACTTATATATAAATATATATATATATACATATTCATGTTTTCCGTAAGCCCTCTCATGCAATGACCTACACCTCGTCGTGTCCTGTAAGAGACCCTAGACCCTAAACCCCCTAAACCCTAAACCCGAGCTGGAGAGCACAAAATCTGAAGTCAACGTAGGCAGCCCTTCACTCTTTCCATGCCTCTGGGCGCCCTTAGATAGGCCTCGAAAATCCCCCCTAAACCTGAACCCTAAACCCCAAACCCTAAACCCCAAACCCTAAACCCTAAACCCCAAACTCTAAAGCCCAAACTCTAGATCCTAAACCCCCCAACTCCCCCGCCCCCCGGCCAACACCGCCCAAGCTGCCAGCCGAAGGCGTCGGCCAGGAAGCCCCCGGTTGCAGGGGCCGCTAGAGGGCCCAGCTGCCTCTTTCGGGAGCGGGGTATTGGGGGTTTTGATGGGTTTCGGGATTTAGGGTTTTCAGGTTTAGGGTTTAGGTTTAGGGTTTAGGGTTTAGGGTTTAGGGTTTAAGGCTTAGGGTTTTTAGGGTTTAGGGTTTAGGGTTTAGGGCGTTGGAGGCAGAACGGGAAGCGAGGGTCTCTTGCACTGGCGGTTTTTGCGGGTTTTGGGGCACACAAGGTCGGGTTTCGGGCTTAGGTTTTCGATGAAGGGCCGGACTCTCGGCCCCCAAACCCTAAACCCTAAACCCTAAACCCCAAACCCTAAACCCTAAACCCTAAACCCCAAACCCCAAACCCTAAACCCTAAACCCTAGACCCTAGACCCTAGACCCTCAGAGCCCAGCGGCATCAGCGTCGCCAGCGCCCCCTGATGCTTGAGTCTCTCGGCCATGTCCGTGTAGCCTCATCAACTCATGCTTGAATCGGGATGGTCCCCCCCCTTATACTAACAGCCCTTAATGGGGATTATACTAGGGGGTAGAAGAATCCCTTTTGAGGACTGTTCGTATCAGGAACATCCCCTTGCTGGACCTTTGAGGCATTGCTCTCTTCGTTTGGGGATCCCTAGCTGGGCTTTGAAGGCCTTCTGTGGTGTTGGGAAGCACGTCACTGCACATAAGTTTCCTCAAACCCCCGCCACCCTCAACCCTCAACCCACCAAAACAGAACCAGCTAAGCAACCATCAGCCCTCAACGCATCTCAACCCCCAAACCCCCTCCCCTATATGTATATGTATATATATATATGGGCCATATATATGTATATATATCCCGATGGTTTTGAGCCGAGGGCAGTCCGGGATGGTGGAAAGGATGACGGGCGTAACCGCCGCTGCCATGCCCTGCGCACAGGAGGAGGGCTTAGGCAAGCTCAGGAGCTTCGGGTTTAGGGTTTAGGGTTTAGGGTTTCGGGTTTCGGGTTTAGGGTTTAGGGTTTAGGGTTTAGGGTTTAGGGTTTAGGGTTTAGGGTTTAGGGTTTAGGGTTTAGGGTTTAGGGTTTAGGGTTTAGGGTTTAGGGTTTGGATTCCAGGTTCAGGGGTTTGGCTTTGGCTTACCTGCAAACTCGTCTTAGCGCGAGAATTTAATAGCAAGCAGCCCCTTAATGAGGAGCCTAGAAAATTCATAAAACTGCAGGTCAGCCTGCAAGGGACTTGGCTGCCGCATCTCCTCCTATATAACCTCCTCAAGGGGATTGCAGAGGGCCTGCCTGCGCAGCTCCCTAAACCTCCCTGAGCTCAAAGCCCTTAATCCTAAACCCTCGGAGGGTTGTTGCTTGAGCAATGAGGTTGCACGGTTTCGTGAATGTCAAGTGCAGGCTTTGGGGGCTCGTACAGGTTTTAGGGTATAGGGTTTAGGGTTTAGGGTTTAGGGTTTAGGGTTTAGGGTTTAGTTTAGGGCTTAGGGCTTAGGCGCTTTAAGACTTATTGGGTTTAGGGTTTGAGGAATAGTCTGACAGCCTCGGGCTCCAAAGCCATCACTCAGATCCTGCAAAAACTGAAGCCCCAAAAAACCTACATCCACTACCTGATTCATTAAGGTCAAAGGTGCTGGGTTTGGGGTTTCGGGTTAAGGTTCTAGAACTTCAGAGATTGTACGACCAGCCTGGAAGATGCGCCCCACCACGAACCACGAGTACGTCTCGGAAAAACCGCAGCACCTAGGCCCACTTGGAGGGGATATCTTTAGGGTGCAGGAAACCCTCAACACAAACCTTGAATTGCGGATTTCCTAAACCCAAACCTTTAATTGAGGGTCTAAAGCTTACGTTTAGAGGGGGTTATCGCTCCTTTGCCCGTGGGTTTGGGTGCAGGTTTTGAGGGTCCAGCACCTCGCGGATTCCGCGGCGCAAGCCCAAACCCAACTTTTCCGACACCCTACAAAGGATCGGGGTTCTTGAGGGGGGTTTAGGGCTTAGGGTTTAGCGTTTAGGGTTTCGGGTTTAGGGTTTCGGGTTTAGGGTTTAGGGTTTAGGGTTTAGGGTGTAGGGTTTAGGGTTTAGGGTTTAGGGTTTAGGGTTTAAGGTTTAGGGTTTAGGGTTTCGGTTTGCGGGTTTAGGGTTTAGGGTTTAGGGTTTAGGGTTTAGGGTTTAGGGTTTAGGGTTTAGGGTTTAGGGTTTAGGGTTTAGGGTTTAGGGTTTAGGGTTTAGGGTGTTGAGGAGTAGGGTTGAGGGTTTTCTGGAGGGGGCGTTTAAGGAGAGGGCGCGGGGTTTTGAGAGGCGGGGGGGCTTTGGGGGAGACACTCCTGAAAGGCTGAAAGGCACAGGGTGCTCACGGTGAGCAAAGCCTGGCCGCCCAGGATCACCTGAGGCATCAACATGTAGACTAGTTGTGTTCAACGAGGTCTTCGGCTTAGACATGAGGACTGCACTGCGGTAGGGATTCAGAATGGGGCCCCTTTAAGAGGCATGAAAAAATGTAGACGCTTGTGTTCAAGGAGGGCTTAGACATGAGCCCCCAGACTTGAAATGTCGGCTAAACGGCTGGACGGCGGCCGATAGAGTCGGACAGTGGGCCAAAGAGCAGCATAAAGATGGCGCTGGTGAACAAGTGGACTTGTATGGTCGCTCCCATCTGCACCGGCGCCACGTTGAAATCCTCCGCCATGTCTGGCATGTTTGGCTGGTACTGGTCAGTGCAGAAGAAGTCAAGAAGCAGGGTGCAACCAAGGGCTGCCAGCATGCTTCTGGACATCCCCTGCCGCTGTTTGCGATGCGTGCTCTGCGGTGACCGGGCACTGTAGGCCCAATATGCCCCAATGGATATCGGCGCGGCGACGATCAAACATGCCACAGCCTGATGCAGCAACGGACCTCAGGTCTCGGTCAACGGCATCGAACACTTGCAATGGAAACTGCCACATTGTTATCTCCTTCAAAAGAATGACTGTACGGAAATCCAGGGCACTCTCCCGCTGCACCTGCATGGCGATTCTGGAGCAAAGCTCGTCGGACTTCACTTGCGCTGCTCTCGGACTTTGATGTTCAACGTGCTTTTGTGAACATCGAATAACTTGGCACTTGGCAACACCTAGTCATAAAGCGTGATTAAACATGACATGGGCCGCCCTGCGCTCCTCTGAATTCAAACTGAGAAAGATCGCGTGCAAGGGCGAGTCACAAATGCATGATAAAAGTGGGAGGTGGGGTGGAAGTGGGGTGGAGGCTAGCAGCTAACAGGAGCGTAGCCATGGAAACTGGCCAATTGCACGACTGCCTGGTGGAAAACTACTCGAGTGTGTATTGAACAAGAGGGATTCTCGTATGGGTTCCTTATACAAGGATGTCGCTATATGTAGGACGCCTATCAAGAAGGTAGCCCTATGTGAAGAAACACCCAACATCGAAACAATACAGTCGTAACTGTCCCTCCCTCTCTCACCCCACCTGTGTTACAACACAAAAAACCAGACAACACAAAAAGGATTGACCAAACTTGAAGAGCAGTTCACTCAAAAATGTCTGATTGCACCTGGGCGGCGCTCACCCCCAACACCGCCCTTCCCTGCGCCTAAAATGGAAAGTCCAACGTCATGGGCGCATACCTGAATCAACAAACCAAAAGACCTGAAGAACAAGAACGCGCGGGTTATTCCATGTGATCCACCCATGCACCTAACCGCGTCAAACCTTTGACAACTTTGCAAAAGCACCGAACCCGAGGCCGTCGAAGCTGCAGCAACATGCATATGTTTCTACTGATAGTCAGCTCGTCTCTCGGTTTGAGATCGAATCTGGCACACCAAAGCCACGACCCCACTAACACCGACCAGACAAAGAAGAGTGATGCCCCGAGTCCACCCACACTGCCAGAAAATTTTTCCTCACAATCAAATGCCTCGCTTTCTGGCTTGGTCTTGCCAGGATTCCCAATGCACTATGGAATAACAAGACCCTGCAAAGTTCCCGGCACACTCCTGAGACGGTGCAAACGAACCCACGGGGTCAACAACCTTTTTTTTTGAAACGGGTGCCTTTACTGCATCGGCAGCACAGTAGGCCAATCTTGTGGGACTTTCAACAAAAGGTGAAACAGACGTTTTCGCAGGCCGATCAGCAGCAAAAACCAACCAAACAACGCCAACACAAACGAGAAAAAGAAGAAAAAGGCCAAGCCTTTACCCACACATTGACACTTTCCTTGCACACTGAAGCCAAAGACATGCACCCGCAACCAACCCACTTTGCAACCACAAATGCTCACACACACACACATCCACAACACTCTTGCACATGCACACTCAGAAAACAAGCCGCAACCACAAAATGTACATTCTTTATGGATTCTTAAGTTCCGATTGCAATTTTTTCACTGTCTTTCTGGTCAATCGACAGCTTACCGGGCTGACAGCACTCACCAAAACACTTGCTGAACGATCTGTTTGTGTTTTGGTTCGACAAAAAACAAAGAAAACATTGAACAAAAAGCAAGAGAAAAATTCTGTTCAGACGGACGAAGGCAATTTGAGCTGAAAAAACAAAAAAGTGTTGCTGTGCATGAATCTGCTGCTGAATCTGAAGAAAATTGTCTAAGTTTCACAACTCTGCTTCTTTCCAGTGTTTTTTCGATTTCTCTAAAGTTCAAAAAGAAAAAAAACTTGTTTGTCTGTAAGTTGATTTCAATTATTATTGAACTCAAATGGGTTCCAAAAGCAGCTCAATTCTGGGCACGAAAACGGGCCCTAGATTTTGGATTTCCTGTGTGAACACACAAGGCCACCCAGGTTGGAGTTTTCTTGCACACTGAAACCAAAGACATGCACCCGCAAACCAACCCCCTTGCAACCACAAATGCTCACACCGTGAAAAGTCGAAGGTCCCTCTGGTACCTTTTCCCTTGAAAGCACGAACCCAAACCTATCTCAACCAAGTGCGGACACGCTCTTTTTCACTCGCAGGCCTTGAGCCAAAAGTCACGAAGTGCGCAAACTAAACGAATTCACATGTGAGCTCAAACTCAGCTTCAGAACAAGTTCCTACACACTGCATACTCACTCAAAGTAGCGTATTGGGCAAAAACGAAAATCATCGAGGCAAAAACATCAAGGATGGGATCACAAAGATTCCCAATCACTCCGAAGCAAAACAAAACTATACAAGCTGATCCAAAACATGACAAAACCTTCAATGATCAGCCACGATCTTCCACCCCGCATTTTGCTGAGGGTTCACTTCAACACTAAGGGGATGCCCTGGCCACATTCCCTTGGTGCGACGAGCCCGTGTATGGTCTTTGGTTGTCTGTTAGGACTCTGTGAGTGCCTGGAGGCAAGTTTGGGTTTGGAGCCCAGACTGCCAGTGGACCGGAATCTCTTGTACTCGGACCGTGTAAGAGTACCGGGAAGTCTATCCTGTGAGAAGGCGTATCCGGACTCATCAGGCTTGGAAGCAGTTGGTTCAGCGGCTGTTGAGGCACTTTGGAGCCCGGGCAAGGTGGTTTGTCTGGAACTGGATTGGTTGTGACCGATCTTGGAGCAATACGGTGCTTGGTAGAGTAGAACTAAGGTTCTTCAGAAGCCTGGACCATCTGGTGTTGGTGAGAGAATTTTCGCCAGAAGACGTTGTGGAGAGACTGCAGGCTGGAGCCTGAGTTCAGGAACTATGTTGAATACATCCCCACGACATACCAGTGGAGCTCATGTGAGGAGTCCAAGAGGTGGACAAGAGCGTGGAAGCTCTGTGCCCATCATGGAAGGCGAAGGGTAGACCTTTTTCCTTTTTTGGAAAATCCCAACCCACTGTGGGTGCAAGGTTTGGCACAAGGAAGCCAACCTGTGTTATGGCCCAGTGCCCAGAGGTCGAACTCCCGCCAGAAGCCCTCATGGGGTAGCTACTGGAGCACCCCAACAGACAATGGGAGGCCCTTCGTTTCCCCCTGGTTTGCCTCAACAAGCGGTAGGAAGTCCTTCGTTACCACCAGGACTATCTATCCACTGGACCTCCTCAACCTGTGGTGACACCATCACAAACATCACCCGACGTGCAAGGGTTGACGAGACAAGTGCGAGAATTGGAAAGCATGATGCAGCAACTGGTTGTGCAGCAACAGCAGTTTATGCAAACGATGACTTCGTCCATGGTGCAGCAACAGCAGCAGCATCAGCAGTGGATGATACAGCAGCATCAGCAACAGCAGCCACAGCAACAGCAACAGGTGAATCCCCCCTTACCTCAGGATGGTGTTCCTGAGAACATGCCCAGTTCTTCTTCGGGATGTCAAGGTGCATCGCCAGTGGGTACTCCTGCGAAGGGGACCCAGCTTTTTCGGATGGCGAGCCCAAGTCCCCCACTGAGACCTCCACCTCTGGAGCAAGAAAGGGAAAGGGATGTGTTTGCTCGATCGGACAAATGGTTGCCCAGTTTGCCGACCATTGACTTTTCGTCTTGGAAGGATCGCATCTCTGAAGCTCTTGGATTCTTGACCTGGATGGAGAAGCTGACCAGTTGGGTTGGTTTGGGTTCAGAAGTGTTTCCCAATGAGCTCATGCATGCGGTGAAGACTCAAGAAGAGTCTCGGCTGAAACAGGATCGACTTACTGTGGAGCAACAGAAGAGGTCGACGAGGCTGATGCACATCCTGCGACAGACTTTTGCAAATCATGAGAAGAGTTCTCTGATTTTGCAGACATATGTTGAAAGTGAGAGCACTTATCAACAATCTGGTTTTGTGGCTTTGAGATTGCTGGCGAAGGAGTTTTGCCTGAAGTCGCGAGCTGAATGCCTGTTCTTTCGGTCGCAGCTGGTGAATCAAACCGTGAAAGCACCCAGTATTCCGGAGATCATTCGAAAGATTGAGCATGAGTTGAACAAGTACACCAAGCTGCTCAATAGTCTTGATCCCGATGTGCATGCTGGTGGTTTGCAGATCCAAGAAGCGGATTCGGTTATGGTTTTGCTGCGCAGTTTGCCAGATCGGTGTAGAAGCCATTGCTTGTTGCATGGCGATAGTGAATCGTTTGAAGATCTGAAAAGAGTTGCTCTGAAGTTTGAGGTGCAACAAAGGGTGTGGTCAGAAGCCCCTGGCACGAAGCTTCAACCTTTTCGAGATCCCAATGAGGGAAAGGGCAACGAAGGAAAACCAAAAGGCAAAGGAAAGGAACAGAAAGGCAAGCGCGAATCAAGCAAAGGTGCTGGCAAACGAGCTTCAAGCCAGAACAAGAAGGATGTGGAGTGCTATGTGTGTGGTGGAAAGGGACATTATGCCCGCGATTGCTGGTATAAGGAGGGAGATTCAGGCAAGAAGCCCAATTCCCCCAATGCTAAGGCGAAAGCCAAGGCAAAAGGAGATCCCAAGAAGAAGCCCGAAAAGGGAAAGCCCAAAGGAAAAGGCAAAGGAAAGGGGAAGACAGTTGCTGAAGTCTCCCAAGAGGGTGAGTCGAGTGACTACCAGCTAACTGGAGGTGAATGGAATGAACCTGAGTCAGAGGCCCGAGTGGAATCTGTGTTGCAACCTCTGGAAGGATTGCTCGATGAAGTGAGAAAAGAGTGGATTCCCCGGAGTACTGATGAGATAGATTGGTCATGGGAAGTTGAGACGAGAGTCCGGATTGCCGAGTTGGAGCATCGGATCTCTACCGATTTATCTCAGATGTTGCCATCTAAGTCAGTTCGGTCTTTGATGAAACCTCCGATGAATCAAGTCAAAAGCATGGAAAAGGATGATGCAAGCAAATGGTGGTTGATTGACTCAGGAGCATCGGTGACTGTGATTGCGAAAAGATACTTGGATGAGTTCCAGATCTTGGATCGGAAGGCGTTGGGACCTAATGAGAGGTACTCAGCAGCCAACGATACCCCGGTGAATGTCTTCGAGCGAGTTCGCATCCGAGCCTTGCTGCCTATGTATGAAGGAAAGCAGTATCTTGGTTTGACATCGGTGTGTGTGACTGGAGTTGTAGCAGATGTGGCTCACAACATCTTGAGCACC